TAACGGTAGGAAGAAATCAAGATTAAATTAAAAATAAAATATGGCTCAAATTTTTTTGCCCGGCGGGGAACATGTTTATCAAAAATTTTAAGAAAAAATAAAATAACTTTGTGTCCCAAAATTGGGTTTTTTTGATTCAAATTAATATATATACTATATATAAATAGAAATTCTTATTATGTTTAATGGTGGTTGTATAATTGCGATATCTCAACATGATCTAGCTATCAAAGCCTCATATGTTGTATATACGATACATTTCCTTCCTTCCTCTTTATTTTGATTTTAAAAATCAAGTATTTGTTAATTTAGTCCCAAAAGTCTAAAGGCAAAATACACATTAATCATTTAATAAGGAATAACAATCATAAACCCTGTTTCTGATTAGAAGCTCAAAACACTTGTCCTGTGGCTTTTAAAACCTAAAGTCCAGGATTGAATTCTACCAAATTGTTTAACATCACAAATATAATGTGATCGTGATATTAACGAGGATACGGACAATTGAATAATGACACAAGGAAGCATTTTTTCTTTATCTTTACGATCATATACATATGCTCGCCTATATTAAGTTAGGCAGTAAATAATTTATTGTTTTTTTCTTGATTCGAATAACCCATTTATTGGTTATTACTTTTCTTGGTAAATTTCACAAGTACTTTTTTCTTTGAACATTAATTAAAATGAAAAAAAATTTATTACATAACATTGGCGTTATGGCACAGTAGTTATTACACAGCGCATTTATTTATTTATTATTATTATGAATTATTGTTATAATTGTTCGTCTTATCATTGTTGAAAACCTTCTAGATTCTTTGATATCTTCTGTTTGATATTTTAATTTATTCGACGCACGATTTTATTTTAATTTTATTACGGATATTATTATGGTCATCTTCACATTGAATTTACGAGTTGAAAGAATAACTTTGGAAGAAGGCTATTCAGCCCAATATGATGTGATTTGTGTGTAGCCACAAGGAGAATTTGATCACGCGACATCGTTAAATGAAAAAATTTATACTCGAGATCATAACCGGCCCCATCTATCGGAGGATTTCGAGACGGAAAGTTGAGAGGCAGACGACAGCACGGACTTTTAATTAATAGATGGGTCAAAAACTCGAAAAGTAAGGTAAAGGTTGGTTCTTCTGCCGATACTTGAATGAGGTCATTTTGATAATAATAATGTTCGTACCTCTATAATATAATTTCCGAAATATCCTATTTGTGGCAAGATTTTCATTAATGAACTAGTTACAAGTTTGTGTGTGTTATTCATTTTCATCATTTTCAAAAAAAAATTTTTTCCTAAAAAATTTAACAACCTTTGCTTACATTTTAAAAGAGAGAAACATAATTTCTTCTTTTTTGATTTTATTTTTTTTTACAATTTAATAGGCTAACTGATGTTCAAATTCTTACAACTACCAACATTTATTAATAATTCATATAACAAATGAGTGCATCCAAGAAAAATACTCCAAAAACAAATCCAACAGAAAGATTCGTTATAATTCCTCGTAAAATAATACCCGCTCAAAATACATGCTTTTTTGATGATGTTTTGGCAGTCGAAACTGACGTTACCAGACAATTAAAATTACTTGGAGATCAAAATAAGCCAAAAGGCAGCAGTAATAAAGCTGAATCTAACAAAATACCTCA